TATGAAAATTTACAATGAGATAAGTTTAACAATATTTTTTTCATAAAATAATATTATTACATTAATAAATAAAACGTAGTCAAAGTAGAACATGTGAATAGTGTAAAAGTCAAAGTGTTGCATTTATTTAAGAACGGAGGTAGTATGTGATAATAGACAGTTTTGTGAGGAACTTTGATCCATGTAGCGATTATCCCTAACCAATTATACTTATGGTCACATTAGTTTGTACGTGTCTCATAATACTTCCTTTTGACTTGAATAATATTTTTTATTGTACTAGAATAGTATTTTTTTATTCCGTAAGTTTTCTTTTCAAATTAGATAGTACATTTTGATTTTTCTCTGTGTGTTTGTGAGTATTTCAAAATATTATTATCTGGTTCCCAATGAATGAATACTAAATATATATGTACATGATGTTGTATCAACATTAGCAATTAATTATGATGCATGTCTTGATTATTTCCTTTTATTATTATACAGATGCGTGAAACGTGTGAGGATTTACCCTTGTTGCTGTGGAATTCATTCAACACAGTATTTATACTCCTACAGGTATTTTCTCGATCTTCTGATCATGTCATACTTATTTAATCGGATTAGTGAATCTATGAGCGTGACATTTTGTGTATATATTATCAATGTACATTCTAATACAAACATTTCATATTGGAATATACACTCATAATTCCATAAAGAGTGTCTATTTAAACCTATTATCTATCTATACACATTTTTATAGTGCATGCCTCATTTGTCCAGGCATTGATAATTTTTCTTCTTCCATCCAAACACCATTTGAAACTTTCTTTTAAAGAGAAGTTTTTATAATTCTGATAATTCTTGTTTTTAAGGAAATCTTGATTGCAAACTTAATTTGATTCATTCCAAATTGATTTACCGTTTGTGGGTTTTAAGGTTGATTGAGATAAAATATAATAAGGTCTACAAATATTTAAACCAGTTTTGTAGTTAAAATTTACATATGCTACACTAACTACAAGATATAGAATAACAAATAAATTATATTGATAAGGGGGGAGTATGATAAAGGTATATGTGCTTTCACTTTGAGGGTTTTCTTCTAAACAACGTAAAAAAGGAGACGTGGATGTATAAAAAAGTGACACATCACCTTCTTTATGATGGAATTTAGACAAAAACCCTCAAAGTGAAAACACATGCTCCACTTTGTGAAAAATGAACATGATGCCCCTATTTGAAAACTGTTTCAAAGCACAAGTACCTTTATTGTATTTTTCCTTAAAAAAAACCATACCCAAAATAAGAAAACAAAAACAAATTATATTGACCAAGAAAAGTAAATGGAAGAAGTACTTTTTTATTTCCTTGTTATTTATCCAATCAAAATTGAAGAAGAATTTAGTGATAAAGATAGATTACTATACACTTTTTGAGTTATTCAATTTTTTTCTCCTGAGAATATATGCTTGAAGGGATTTTCCTTGTTTTAAATATAATAAAATGAAATAATAAAGAATATATGACTAAAATGGAGTTAGATAAAAATATGATTTTTATACTTTAATGACTATAGTTGTGATTATCATAATGTTCAACTTTGTACTGATTATGTTCAACTTTTGCGACTAATAATGACTATTTTCCAGATTTAACGGCTAATAAAGTTCTTTATTATTTATTCGACTAAAGGTCAAATATGCCCTCGAACTAATTTAAAAAGTTTAAATCACTCCTTATATAGGAGGCTCTGTCCGGCCGCCGTCATTTGGGGCGGTTCCTGGTGGAAGTTTTGATGAATGTTTTTTAGCATCTTCTTCATTAAGTGTAGTTTACTCATACCAAATTTCAGCTAAAAATTCAATCGGGAAGACAGTCAAATAAATTTTTGAAGATAATTGCGTAGTTAAACAACGTAGTACAATTCAGAAAATCATTTGATTGTCTTCCCGATTACATAATATTCAATAATATACATAATATTTAATTCAACATCTATCACTAATCTATTCAACCTCTACAAGATGATACATGTCACCATCCCCAATTGTCACTACCAATTATCGCAGTAAATGACTACCACAGCCTACTTGACACCGTAGCGAAACGCCACCATTGTCATCTACAATTGGCTATATATTAATGAAGAAGATGCTAAAAAAAGTTCATCAAAAAATTCCACCGGGAATCACCTCATATGGAGATGTCCGTACTGAGCCTCCTATATAAGGGGTGATTTGCACTTTTTCAGTTAGTTCAAGGGCCTATTTGATCCTTTAGCCTTATTTATTTTAATTGAAGTTGATGAAGCCTTAAAGTTATAAAGAGTGTACACTTTTTGAATTACTCAATTTTTCTCATGAGAACGCTCGGAGGGCTTATACATGTTTTAAATATAATGAAATATGAATATAAATTGAAAACATGTATGTATGTATATATATGTGCGCGCGTGTGAGTGTGTGCGCCCATGTATATATATAGACAGATAGTATAGGACATCCAAAAATCTAAGAAACCATCTATGATTCTACCACAATCGTATGAACTTACATACCTTCATTACAAAAGCCCATTTTTAAATTGAAGACCCCATTCTTGTAAAAAATGTGTGATTGTGATAGTCACATCATTAGAAATTTCATAGAAATTCCCAAAAGATACTTATTGTTGTTAATCCTACTTTTTAAACTAATTACGTATATATGCACTCACAAAAGAACTACACAACAATAATTCAATTCAATTAGTTTAAGACAACGAGCGTTATTAGTAAGCACGTGACCTCTCATTCGGTTAAGACATACTCCCTCTGTCCCTAAATTTACTTCCATTTCGCTTTTCGAGAGTCAACTTAAATCACTCTTAAGCTCTTACTTTTTGTATCAAAACTTTATGAAAATTGATTTTTTTTGTGCAGGCTTTGTAGCGGGTTTAATGTAGTTTCTGAATATGTAAATTTTATTTACTAAAAATAATCCGAGTTTTCACAGGAATCATTTAACTTTATCGTCGGTCAACCTTCGTAATCCGCAATCGGAAGAACATTCAGGGACGGAGGGAGTATATAGTACATGCTACGTAAGCAATGGTCACTCATCAATTTAAACGGTGTTTGAAAGGGTTCGAAAGTTATAGGACTAAAATTGCAAATTTTAGCATTTTTTTCTAGTAGTGCTTATTTTTATTCGAGTATGTTTGGTTTGGATAATTGGAGTACTTTTGATACAGTGTTTCAGTTTTTATCGTTTTAGATTTAAAATTGCATGTTGTCTTGTCAAGTTGTTTTGTATGAGATGACTCACGCTATGTTTATTTCTAGGTTTATTTCTAGGACTTAAGATCGCATGCATTAGTAGTAACTGTTTGAAATTATCTTGTATGTTTTCCGGATTTTAATATACACCCTTTATCTCACACACAAAAATCATTTAAAAAAAGCTCAAGGACAAAACGGTGTTGTTTATTACTTGAGTTTTTTTTATCGTATTACTTGAGTTTTATATACTCGGCATTTCTTTATTCTCATATATACGACATTAAGTTTCAAAATCACTCAAGAATTATTATTATTTTGTACTACCTATGAATATGTAATATCTTTGGACATAAATTATATTCTAGGAAATCTTGTCCGCATACAAGAAGTTACAACCCCCAAAGATGACCGCCAGAGAATCTACTCGCGTTTGCAATGCCATTGCACTATTTCAGGTTCTTTCCCGGTCTTTCACTTCCCTCTCATGAGAAACACTTTTTTCTTCCAACACTTTTTATTATCTCATTAATTATTTTCACCAATGTTCCACTTTATACATACTACAATTTCTAAAATTATCAATATTTGTTCCTAAAAAAAAATTATCAATATTTGCATTTAGAATTGGAATTCTGCTCTCCAATATTTCTCCCGAATTGAAATTTGCAGAATTGCATCACATTATTAACGGATTATTTTAACTTTGGTTTACAAACTCAAAATGGATAAAAATGGTGTGCATTCTCCAATTCCACCCATATATTAATTTAATCCTAGAAAACGATATGTACATTGGTGGAGCTAGACAAACATCTTAGAGGTCAATATCTTTTTTGTTTCGTTTTGACACAATACGTAAATTGAATAATTTATATGTTGATACTTGATAGCATAAACTCAATTGGTCTACGTTATATTACAATCAATAGTACTGCTGTAAATGTATCATTGTCCTATCATCTTCTATTCTTCTTCCATGATATAGTCTAACTTGTGTTTCGTACCCACAGTGCATAGCTAGCCACCCGCAGACAAGGATGGAATTTGTCAAAGGTAAATATCTATAGGGAGTCCATTAAAAAAAAAACACGGGATTGACAGATATTTTTTGCACAGATTTTCCGAAATTGGCAGGGATATGCCAAATCCGTGCCAAAAACAATTTGGCACGAGCTATTTGGCACGAAATTATCAGTAAATCCGTGCCAAATCCGTGCCAAATCCGTGCCAAATCTGTCCCAATTTGGCATAGTGTAAAAGACATAATTTTAATCACATACTCCCTCCATCCCGCTAAGATTGTATCATTTTACCTTTTCGGGAAGTTCCACTAAGATTGTCTCATACGAAGTACTAAATTTGATAAAGTTTGTGTGGCTCAAAATCATTCTTACTTTATTTTTACTTTATCAATTTAATATCAACCACACAAACTCACTTTTCTTAATAACCGTGTCACCTTCTCATGTCCCAATTTTAGTGAAACGGAGGTAGTATTTATTAATAATTTATTAATTTAAAAGAAAATGATAAGTTTTTTAGGCTGCTAAATATGAAAATCTAATAAAGTTTTGCGGGACGGATGGAGTATATAGTAACATTGTGTGTTTGTGTGAATTAAATGTAACGAATCCTTAGCAAAAGCAATTGTTTCTTATGTCCGAATAATATTTTTGGTTTCTTTCTTCCCAGGTAACGAACCAAACACAAACTATAAATTTTTTACGGAACTTCATTAGCTTAAATGCTTAATTAATTGACTTGTAGGTTTTTAGCTAATAAGTTTGCTGCTGTCAATCTTTTGCAGCAAAAATAACATTTTATCTCCACCCGTTTCTGGGAATAACTGCAAATGGGAATAAGCCTTTGGAGTGGTTGAGGCTTACAAGTCTTGGTGTATTTGGTGCCTTAGTTAAGGTGAATTATTATTATTCTCATTATACTACTGTCATTATTAGAGTCTATTTGGTAACATTGAAATTGATTGAATCAACTGAATCTACTGAAATTGATGAGATTCTGGAGGAAACAGTTGAATTTGCTGAATTATGAAAAATTATATTTAAAATATACTACGAATTGTATTAATAAAATAATGAAAAAAGTATATTATAAATAGCTAAAATGGTCATAGATAGTAACTTCATCCAATTAAGCTAGAAAAGTAACTTCAACCTTACTTATTTTGATTATTAATTAAGCGTGTGAAACCAAAAGTTATATGTTTGGTAAAAAAAGCAACTAATGGGAGCTACCAAATTCCACTTATTAATGTTGTAATTGCTATTATTAGTGTTACTCTTATTAAGGTTGTTGTTAGGAATTCCCCAAAATAAAGAATAAACACAAGGTTTTTCTCTAAATATGACTAAAATGTTTTTCTAGAAAAAGAAATATTATTATCTTGAAATTATTAATGATGAAAATATGACAATATAAAGCATGTCCAACATTAAAAATATGACAATATAATCTCATTATGATGGTATGAATCCAGGATGATAGTACTTAGGAGACAAGCAAACAATAGTGCTCATGATTTAGAGAGAACAACATAGTACATTATACATTGTTTCTACTCATATTGATGGCAATTTGTATTGTTGTTATTATAGGTAGACATGGATATACCTTTACCCATATTTTTAACTTTCATATTATTGCCAATACAGAAGTTTAGAGGTGATGCTGTACTCACTTTATAATGAGCATTTTAAGCTTTATATAAATTAAATATATCTTTATAAATGCTAATATTCACAGAGAGAGTTTATGTAATTATTTTAGAATAATTTTAGATAACTTGAATTTCAATTTAGAGAGAATTATACATTTCTTTACTGATTTGAAATATGAAAGATGGAATTTAGGAGTTATTGTATGATAGGGGTCCAATTTCAAAATATATTTAACTGGTTGAGCCGAATCAGCCATTACGATCCAGTCTTAACTCTTAATTACAATGATTCTAGTTCGGGTGACTTTTACTCGGTGAGTTTCTGAATAAAAACCAAGTCAACTCCTATTGTGAATGTGTATTAGTTTGTGCATACTAGGGGTGGGCATGTGAGATTAATGTCTTAAGGACTAGTCCGGGCCAAATCAGCCACTCTTTTGACAAAACTGGCCGGTGGTTCCGGGTCGGAACCAGGGGAGAGTGTGGGGACTCAATCCTGGGTGGCCCAAATTAGGGAATTCCTGCGTCTGCCGCTGACCATATAAACTACAAATTTATCCATTCCTTTTTCTTGCTTCTTTCCAATATCTCTACATTTCAATTTTAAACTCTTGATGTAATTAATATTTGGATGCAGGGTGAGGGTCTAGAAGGAAAACTAATTGTCCATTTTCTGCTGAAGTCTGAATTTTTTCCTATGTGCCTCCGTTGCATGGAACTTGGTGATGAGCTCACTCAGACAGTAAGTGCATTGATTTCACAAAGTATATTTAGTTAGAGTTTGGACATTATATATCAGAAGAAACTAATTCAGGCAGATGATATTTACACACACAGCACATAGCTAGAGTAGATGCAAAAACTCACAAAAAGAAGATGAATGCAGGTTTCAGCTTGGGTGATACTGAAGATAGTGATGGAAGAGGAGGGGTTGAAGTACTGCACTGCGTATGGGGCACGGTTCTTCCAACTGGTTCGTGTACTCGCACAAGCGGTAGACCGACTCCCTGAGAGGCAGCCGTGTTTACGCTTACTAAGACTCCTTATTCGCTGTTACCTTAGGCTCTGCGAAGCTCCAAGGTTAGCCACTTACGATGTCTGTCTCTCCCCGCCCATTATTCTTCTCTTACCCTTTAAGCTTATCACTACTTCATGTTATATTGCTTGCCACAGGGCAATGTATGCTTTTAAGAACTCTATTCCTGCAAGAATGACCCAAGAAAAATTCATCAACTTTCTTCGTGTGAGTTCTCCATTCATTTAATCCGTCCATTTCTATCAACTCATTCTTCCCCTCTAACGAATACTTGATTGTTTTTCAAGTACATAGATTCAATTTTTGTAACAACGTATACATCCTGCAAGCTACGTAATCTTTTGGTCATTTGCACTCATTAGTCACAAACGACAAGCTATGTAGATGCTCCAAGCCTCCAAGTGATATTTATTTCATGTAGCATAAGTAGTGGTGGTTCCAATCAGCTGGTCAGGTTCCCAAAACCAGATCAGGACTAGAGTAAAGAAACAAAACCAGTTCTAGAAATGAGACCAATCTAAACCAGCTTCAGATCCTTCTAAATAGGCCCGAACTAGATGGGTTCTGTGTTTCCTCACTTTAAAATAGGCCAGGAAAACCCTATCTGAAATTGAACAGGACCAATATTCCCCGCTCCCCATTATGGGTAGCAGGTCCTTCCATCCCTATCAAGATTCAAGAGGCAATGGCGAACACTCAAAATTCTCACACAATAGAAATCTTTTAATTTTGAATTTAATCCAAGAGGAATAAGAATCAACTCAGAATACCCTAAGGATAGACCCAGGTCGGGCCAGGCGGGGCCGGGCTCGGGTGATACCAGTTCTGGATAAATGGAGCCCGGTACCGGCCTGGTATGCTCCAATACCGGTTCTGGTCCGTGCCCAAAGGGTACCACGCCCGGGTCGGTACCCACCATTTAATTTAAAAAAAATAGCCATTGGCCAAGGCCTCAAAAATCAAGCCCGAAGCCTGCCCCTTATAACTGTCGGGTTAATACCAATCCCGGGTCGGGCTGCATGGGCCCAGTCCATCCCTAGAATACCCCATAGTTCCAATTCTCAATTTCTCATTCACATAATATGTTTTACTCGACGGGTGTGGCTTTGCAGGAAGATCCACAGTGTGCAAGAATGCTGCAACAACTGTTTCTCAATGTCACTACCCACTAGATCAAATAGACGAAAGAAAGACGAATAAAGGAAAGATGAATAAAGTATTTAGATGTATGCCTTGTATCCTCAAAATGTATGTGTTTTTTTATGCATGTTTTTGTTGTTATGGAGGATTTTATCATTCAGGATATTCTACCAGTGCAGTGTTTCAACTAATGGATTTATGGTGTAGATGTAACATTATACACTTCTTACGTAGTACGGAGTACATGTTTTATACTACTTGCGTAACATTTATATCTTCCCATTTAAAAATAAGTGAGATTAAGAATAGTGAAAGGAGGTTTAAATTATTGAGGATATGATAGGAAAATAATGAAATAGTTGCTTGAATAAAACACGAAGAAGGAAGGTGAGAAGATATGGATGTTGCCGAAGAAGTATAGCTAATTACAATAACGGGTAAATTCCTAGAAGATAAATTAACTATTGAAAGAGAAAACACGCCCTTTAGTCCCTACCTGTCTCTCTGTCTTGCTGCATACTAGTCAAGACCGTCTTTTAGGAGGTGCAATAGGTGCTTGGCATCGGGGCCTACTCTTCTAGAGGGCCTCCAAAATTTTGGAGGGTAGTATTAGTTATAGGTTGATTTTTGTAGATGCCATGTATTATTCAAGATTCCAAAAGGCATTTAACCTTTAAATTCTCTAATTTATGGAGTTTAAACATCATAAAACTTATATTTCATTGAATTGTCTAAACTATTTGTTAGATGATTGTAAAAATTTGCATTTTTCTTGTCTTAGGGGCCTTAATTTGTCATTTAGAACCGGGCCTCCAAATTCATTAGACGGCCATGATACTAGTACAAATTAAACCAACCAGTGGAATTGCAGAACAGCCTTGTTTATATGCTAGACTAGAGTGGACCTACATACCTAGTATAAGAAATGAGCTTAAGTGTAGAGTCTAAACGAATCTAAGGGAATAGTTGACAATATTATTCATATTCAAATAATTTTCAAATATTCAAATCTTTTCCGAATCCTATTGGAATATTCGAATAGGAAAAAACATGAAAATTAAATTATGAATATAATTAAAATTATAATATACAGTTTGCCTTCTTTCAGTCATTTCATAGTACATAATTCATACCAAAAAATATACAGTGTATATATATACACACAAAAAAGATCAGGTCCAGCCCTCCCCGGTCCAGCCGTCGTCCGAACTCCGTCGTTTGGGGCGGTTCCCGGTGGAATTTTTTGATGAAATTTTTTGAGCATGTTCTTCATCAAGTCTAGTTTGTCCATACCAAATTTCAGCTCATAATTCGACCGGGAAGGCATTCAAATCATTTTTTGAAGTTGACTGCATTTTTATATGTATATTTTGGCGCAGTCAACTTCAAAAAATGATTTGAATGTCTTCCCGGTCAAATTTTGAGCTGAAATTTGGTATGAACAAACTAGACTTGATGAAGAACATGCTCAAAATATTTCATCAAAAAATTCCACCGGGAACCGCCCCAAACGGCAGAGTTCGGACGGCGCCTCCCGTCCCTCCGGCTAGACCTGATCACTTCTCTCTCTCTCTCATGTCCAGCCGGCCTGACGGGAACCGCCGTCCGGCCGAGGGCATTTCGGGCACTTCCCGGTGGAATTTTTTGATAAAATTTTTTGGGCATGTTCTTCATGAAGTCTAGTTTATCCATATCAAATATCAGCTAAAATTTAAATCGGGAAGGCACTCAAATAATTTCTTGAAGTTAACTGGGTAGTTCATACATATAAACTGCCCAGTTAACTTCACAAAATTATTTGAATGCCTTCCCGATCGAATTATGAGCAGAAATTTGGTATGGATAAACTAGACTTCATGAAAAACATGCTCAAAAAAATTCATCAAAAAAATCCATCGGGAGTGCCCGAAATGCCCTCATCCGGACGGCGGTTCCCGTCAGGCCGGCTGGACAAGAAGACTACTATATATATATATATATATATATATATATATACACAAATGATCCTGTCCAGACGTCCGGACAGGAACCGCCGTCCGGCCGGCGGCGTTTGGCCGCCTTCCCGGTGGAATTTTTTGATGAAATTTTTATGGCATGTTCTCCATCAAGTCTAGTTTATCCACAAAAAAATTCAGCCAAAAACTCAATCGGGAAGGTCGTCGAATGATTTTTGCAAGTTAACTGGTCCGGAATATGTATTTTCCGGACCAGTTAACTTGCAAAAATCATTTGACGACCTTCCCGATTGAGTTTTTGGCTGAATTTTTTTGTGGATAAACTAGACTTGATGGAGAACATGCCATAAAAATTTCATCAAAAAATTCCACCGGGAAGGCGGCCAAACGCCGCCGGCCGGACAGCGGTTCCTGTCCGGACGTCTGGACAGGATCAGGACTCTATATATATATATATATATATATATATATATATATATATGTTTTGGTTCAAATAAGAACACGATCTTATGAGAAAAATGAGAATGAATCTGGACCGTTAGATTTGCTTCAAGTGAAATTCAGTGTGCATTAGATGAAAGTGTACGATAGAGTGACATTATGTGCAGTTGAATTGTGCATTACGTGAAATTGAAATTTGCACTAGGTGAAGCTGAAATGTGCAATATAAAAAGTACGATGTGATGTTATTTTTGCACTTTTTTCCCCGCACATATCAGTTTAATCTAATGCACACTTGAGTTTAAATTTTTATTTTGCACATTTCAATATCATTTAATGCACATTTCAGTTTCACCAAACGCACAATTTGGTTCCACATAATACAATCCAACGGTCCAGATTCGTTCTCTCTCTCTCTATATATATATATATAGTATATAGATTTTGGTTCAGGTGAGAAATGCATCTAATGTGAGAAATGAGAATGAATCTCAGCCATTGGATTTACGAAGTTGCACTAAAATTGGCTTTATGTTGTAGTAATATTTAAATTTTGCACATGTTGCACTAAAACTGTTTCATGTTGCACTAATATTTGACGGCGTTGCACCGAAATAACTTCATGTTGCACTAGACATGTGTAATACGGATTTTTCAGAAGTATTTACAGAAATGCCACCGTGCTAGATTACATATTTCAGTGCATCATGAAATGTCTTTTACTGCAACTTAGACGAATCCAATGGCTAAGATTCATTCTCATTTCTCACCCAAAGGGTTCTTCTCACTTGAACCTTACCCTATATAGGTTCAAGTGAGAAAATGATCTTAGGAGAGAAATGAGAATGAATCTGGACCGTTAGATTATAATCTGTGAAATTGAATGTGCATTTAGTGAAACTGAAATGTGCATTAGGTGAAATCGAAATGTGCAGCATAAAAGGTAAGCTGAAATGTGTGCTGGGTGAAACTGAAATGTGCAGAATAAAACTATGATGTGGTGCATTTTTTTAAGTCTTTTATTCTGCACATTTCAATTTCACGTAATGCACATTTGAGTTTTACTTTTCATTCTGCACATTTCAATTTCACTTAATGCACATTTCAGTTTTACCAAATGCACAGTTCAATTTCACATCATACAATCCAACGGTCCATATTCATTCTCATTTCTCTCCTGGGGTCCATATATATATATATATATATATATATATATATATATATATATATATATATATATATATATATATATATATATATATATATATATATATATATATATATATATAGGGGAAAGATCAAGTACAAAGTGTGCTTATTGTGCAAATATTTGTACGATGCACCTTGACGTTATTTGCATTGCATATTGAGGTTCAAAGTATTGCACATTATAAAGTCATAAAAATAACAGTTGCACATTAAGGTGCAACGAGTTGCACCCTAAAAAGTTGGGTTTTATTACAAAAATGTCACCTTGCCTTTATGTCCTTTGGATCAACTCATCGGACGGTCAAGATGAGTTTGTACTTTGTAAATTAAGAAGGCTTTGTATTTGATCTCTATTCTATATATATATATATATATATAGGAAATCTTTCCGGTAAGGTATACCTTACCGGAGCCTCCGTGCGGCCTCCGCGTTTTGAGGGCTTTCCCGGTGGAATTTTTCGATGAAATTTTTTGAGCATGTTCTTCATCAAGTCTAGTACATCCATACCAAATTTCAGCAAAAAATTCAATCTGGAAGGCAGTCAAATGATTTTTGGAAGATAACTACACCCTTTATATACATATAAAACGCAGTTATCTTCCAAAAATCGTTTGGCTGCCTTCCCGATTGAATTTTTTGCTGAAATTTGGTATGGATGTACTAGACTTGATGACGAACATGTTCAAAAAAATTCATCGAAAAATTCCACCGGAAAGGCTCTCAAAACGTGGAGGCCGCACGGCGGCTCCGGTAAGGTATACCTTACCGGAAAGATTTCCTATATATATATATATATATATATATATATATATATATATATATATATATATATATAAGTCACTTCTTCAAATTTAACATCAATATAATAAACCAACGCAGAATTCTAATTTTAAAATACAATATTTTTCCCCGGTAAGGTAAGAACATTTACATTAAAATATAAAAATACCTACCAGTTTTGCACATAAATATTACTCCTATGTTATTAATATTTATATATACATTGAATTATATTTATTTATAAGTAATGTATATTGTATGAATATATATATAAATATATGTGCCAATATAATTCGAATATATTCGAATATTGTTCGAATATTATTCTACTTACTCGAATTCGAATTGCAAATTGAATCAAAATTATTCGATTCATTTACGACCCTACTTATGAGAACCCCATTTTTATATAAAGAAGTCAAACAGAAACCAGAATAAGTTAGAAGACATGCATGTTGTGGGCCTTGTGGCCAGAGCAAGTCAACAGAGATAGAGAGAGATGTGGTCAATGAGGTGGATTGCTACTATGTGATTTGGAGGGAATGGAAAGGTTGGTGTCAAGCATAAATGAGAGATCATGCATCTGCGACAACAAAAATTCTACTACATCATCATTGCCGCCATCTGACTGGGGAGTTGATTCTTTCGTTTTCATTTTGTTGATATCATCCCCATCACCCTCGACCACAGCCTTTCCAGTATCCTTGATGTCCACCGTGCTGCTGCTGTTGCTGAAGATGCAAGAAATAAAATGTTTTAATAAAGGTGATCACCAAACATTTAAGACGATGATGATAATCATCATAATGTAAAGAGTATTTGTGTTTGTTTTTTTCTTTTTGAGAAGTGATTTATAATA